GTGAGTATTGTGAGGTGATAGCAGAAGAAATGTCTTGAAGACGTGCAAACAAAGATGGCGTCTGAAATACCTTTTATATACTATAATATATAGTCAAGCAGTAATAAGAAATTTTATTTTAATCCCTTCAAGGGCCTGTGCAAATACCTTCCTGGACTTAATAGTCAATTAGTAACAATGGTCCATTTATTACCTTAATTTATCCCGAGATTATCTCCCACACATTTTTAACAAATTCTACCCATTAAAACAGATTAACCCACGTGTGTACATGTTCTCTGTTAGACAACTGTAACTAAAGATAAATGAAATGAAATGAAATGGAGTTTAACGTCCTACTGTTCTGCTCCTAACCTGGGCTAATGAAGACGGCATACGCCACACAGTGTGCTATGAGAGAAATTTTGCCCGGACAGCGGCACTACGGCCTACTCTTATATCGAATTCCAACTGCCAAGGGATCTTTTACGTGCACGCCAATGTGTACACGGAACCTCGGTTTTCGTCCCATCCGAACGACTAGACAGCTTTCCTTGTCAGCCCCTCCGTCCTGCATCACTGACAAGGGAGAACCACGCCCGAAAATCTGGATGACCTTTCTCGGCCAATGCAGGGATCGAACACCCGACCTCCAGGCTAGCGAGCTAGCGTCTTTCCCACTTAGCCACGTGATAACTAAAGACAATCAAAACCACATCGTTACTATGTTAATGTTTTTTAATGACCTCCCAGGTGTTATTAAACCAGTGTCCGGGGAGGGGGGAGGGGCTTAAGGCTTTACGTCCTCTTCCACCTGGGGTTATATCGCAGACAAGTGTTTCCTAAGAAACTTGCCAGAGAAGCCAAATAGTAGGCATAGTCCAGCATGGGTAGGAGATGTTAGTTGGATTAGTAGGCCTATTCGATCTCGTTTCCTTAGATATAAGAGATATTGCCTTTTGAAGGGTAGAGTCCAACGTAAATTTCATCCAAAGGAGTTGTTCGGGTTATTAATAATATGGTTTGTATAAGAAACCGTATATATGGCGAGCGTGCGCAGTCTGGCAAAGTTGCCACCAATGCTATGATCCTGACGAGTTTAGGTTGGTACATAGGTTGGTACCCGGAGGCCCGGCGCCTGTCCGACGTAGACGTTAACCCCCATTTCATTCCATTACTATAGCTGGGCACGACAAGACGTAGATCATGTTGGGATCTAGGAATTATGTGGGAAACATAAAACATAAGCATTGAGGACAGATCTGCTATTAATTTGATAATTTCCTTACTGATGCAATTTACAGGTTATTACTATAAAATTAAAGATGCAGTAATGTGAGATTTAGATAATAAGGTGACAGTTCTCACAATAATGGTTTTAAAATAGACAATAAAAAGTGAATGTTGAAAATGTCATTCAAATTACTATATTCTGAGCCAAGTTATGACTGTAGCGTAGACATATGAAGACATAGCGTAGATGTTTAATTATTGTAGTAACGGTACTTGAGTCTCGATTGTCCATTTTATCATTTAAATCCATTTGAATCTCGGCCATCTTCTATTCTAGAGAGTTTATTATATGCTTGCGAGGTTTATAAATATCTAAATAAGTAGATTTAGCTCTTAAATAATGTATTTCTAAGTCAGTTATAGGCGTGAAATGAAATGGGGTTTAACGTCTCACTGTCTCCGACTGGGCTAATGTCATACTGTGTGCTGTGAGGGAAATTTTGCCCGGGCACCGGCACTTGGGGGCATAAAAAGGGACGTTATAGCTACTAAATGGTACAATCTTATCAATAGCTCAAATGTAGAAGCATCGTGTGTTCAATTTACAAGCTCATTGATCAATATAGCAAAAGCAAATATACCATGCAAAATAGTGACTATTAGGCAACATGACAAACCCTGGATGAATGGCGCAATAAGACGTATGAAAAAGAAAAAAAATAGATTACACAAAAAAGCGGTAAATAGGAATTCAGACTCTGATTGGCAAAATTTCAGGAAAATTAGAAATGACTACATAGACTTAATTAGAAAAAGCAAAAATGATTACTTTGACAAAATAGACAAACAAATTAGTGACACGGAAAACTTTGGAACAAAAACCTGGTGGAAACTTATTAATTCATATACTAAAACACACGCTGCTTCTACAAACGAACCTCCGCCCTTAACAGTTAACGGTAACACTGTGTTTACTCAATCCGAAAAAGCAAATGCTTTAAACTCATTCTTTATCAAACAATCACAACTAGATAGCACTAATAAATCTCTACCACTGCTAGTTATGAACCCTAACAGCATCGATAAGATTGTACCAAATCCAGAGGAAGTTAAAGACATAATAGACAGCCTAGATATTACAAAAGCCTCAGGACCCACCGAAATAAACGCGAGAATTCTAAAATACATCTCAAAAGAAATCAGTCATCCACTTTGCCAACTTTTTAAACTATCATTAGATCTACACATTGTACCAAACATTTGGAAATTTGCAAACGTGGTCGCTATATTCAAAAAAGGCTCTCCAAACGATTGTAGTAATTATAGACCAATCTCCCTCTTAAGTATAATAGTCAAAATTTTTGAAAAAATCATCCACAAACATGTCTTTAACTTCCTTAGAGATAACTCAATACTAACACCTGTCCAGAGTGGCTTTCTTCCAGGTGATTCTACCATATTTCAACTAATCGACCTAACACACTTCTTCTGTCGAGCCATTGACCAACATCAATATACTAGAATAGTCTTCTGTGACATCAGCAAGGCCTTTGACAGGGTTTGGCATGCCGGACTCTGTCACAAGCTGGATGCTGCGGGGGTTCGAGGAGATCTACTGCTCTGGTTCGTAGATTATTTAAAAAATAGACAACAATGTGTAACCATCAGTGGCACCTCCTCGGACCCCAGAAGCATCCCTGCTGGTGTTCCACAGGGATCTGTACTAGGCCCTCTTTTATTCTTAATATACATAAATGATATTGTGAACAATATAAATTCAAACATTAGATTATTTGCTGACGATACCTCTTTATACTTAAAAATTGAAGACCCAGAGGCAAGTGCTGCTACCATTAACGATGACTTAAATCGAATCAGAAATTGGGCTGAGACATGGCTGGTAACTTTTAACCCCCTAAAAACAGAGACACTGACTATTACTACTAAACCCCACATAGTTAACCCACCATTATTTATGAACCAGGTACAAATCAAAGAAGTAAGTGAACATAAACATCTCGGTCTAATCTTTCAAACTAACTGTAAATGGAATAATCATATAGATAGCATTGTAAGCAAAGTATCCAAACTAGTAAATTGCCTTCGTTCTCTAAAATATCGATTAAATAGAAAATCTTTAAACATAATATACTCTTCTTTTATCCTTCCACACTTTGATTATGCCGACATTATCTGGGATGGGTGCAGTGATTATTTAGCTAACAAACTAGAATCCCTACAATTAGATGCACTGCGCACTATCTGTGGGGCGGTAAGAGGTACTAGCCATGCCTTACTCTATAAAGAGACTGGGTTTGTTCCACTCTCGGAAAGACGTCGACGTCATAAATTAAAATTAATATACAAAATTACTAACAACCTCGTTCCATCACATCTCTCTGACCTATTAGAACTGTCCTCTACCCCTATCAATTATACCCTTAGAAACAAAGATAAACTAAAGGAAACCAGATGCAGAACCGAAATTTTCTCAGAGTCCTTCATACCTTCCAGTATACGAGAATGGAACAAACTTAACGCTGAAATTAGAAACTCTCGATCCCTTGCTATCTTTGGAAATTCACTAAATAAATTAGACACCATCGTGCCATAATATTACTATACTGGGATACGAAAATTACAAATAATCCACTGTAAACTAAGATTATGCTGCTCGAATCTACAAGGCCATAAATTCCTCAGACACGTCGATGATAGCCCTGCTTGCCTCTGTGGTCACAAATTCGAAGATACCGAACACTATTTACTCGTATGCCACTTATATTCAGATGCAAGAAAACGGACAATCCATAACCTTCAACATAATCATAAAACAATCAGTTGTCTGTTGTATGGGTCAACAAAACTTAGTCCAGAGATAAACACACTTATTTTCCAAGAAGTCCAACAATTTATTTCCTTATCAAAAAGATTTAAATCTCCATAAACAACTCTTAAGTCATTCCAAGCCCTGCACTCTGTATAATCATCTAAGTCTCTATATTATCCATGATGTATCATATATGCTCTATAATTATGTATGTATGTATGTATGTATGTATGTAAATATTTATAATGTGTACATGTACCTAAATCAGAGAGAGGGGTTACACATAGGCATAGCCTGTTCCCCAATCCAAATTCAGATTTAATGAATAAAAATATTGTTTAAAAAAAAAACAAACTATGGCCTACTCTTATATCGAATTCCAACTGCCACGGGATCCTTTACGTTCACGCCATTGTATACAAGGGACCTCGATTTTTCGTCCCATTCAAACGATTAGACAGCTGTCCTTGTCAGACCCTCCGTCCTGCACCGCTGACAAGGGGAAACCACGTCGGAAAATCCCGATGAACTTCCTCGGCCATTGCAGGGATCGAACACGTGATCTCCAGGCTAGCGAGCCAGCGTCTTACTCACTTAGCCACCTTCGCTCCCCCAGTTATAAGTAGTGCTCGTAAGTAAACTAGAATGGCCCAATGGCCCTTCCACCTGAACGCCCCGCCCTAAATAAACGCGTAAGTCGCTTGTGCCTGTCTTTATGCCATATTTTACTCACAAGATCTCAAACGAAATGCACATATAATTAAAGCTATGCCTTTAACCTACCAATAGGATATCAGCTGGCTGACAGCAAATCAAACAAAAGAAATGAAATGAAACGAATGTCGTTTAACACTGACAAGTGTAAACACATTAAAAAAATAACAAAAGGTATTCACGCCAAATATACAACTGTAAAAACCAGTTAGCCGATCTTATAATCCAATAACAAAGAAAATATTTTGTGACGCCCAGTTATTACGTTATATTTAACCAATAAGAAATGAATCGTGACTTCGTCCCAAAACGTTTCATTTCTTAGAAAAGACCCACCGACAGGTAAGCCATTACATTTGTTTGCTGGTCAATTTTATGATTGTAATATTTTCGGTAAAATATTATCTAAAATTATTTGGGTGGTAATAATGCTTAGTGTCCGAAAAGTCATAGAGAAGTAAATATGAAAATCGTCCCACTTATCCAAACAATGTCACTTCTTTGAAGGAAATTATGAAGCATACCTGCCTTAGTCGCTACTAAACATGTCTTAACATATTATAGTATTATATTATAAAGCGTAGGTATGACTATAACCTGTAATATATACCATACATTTTCATCCATTTTATTATTTATATATATATATATATTATACTCTTTAAAAAAGTAGGGGATATTCAGTAACAATACAAAAGTGCGGAAATGCACTGCTGTTTTTATTAGGGGTAACCAGTGTATGTTAATAACAGGCCAATTGCCTACACATGAACATAAACAGTTTATATGGGCGGCTTATCTGACTCACATTGAGATACATTGTCAAAAGTGGGAATGGACGTTTTTGATTTTTGGCCTCATAATGAGTAATTGCTCCACCAATCCTCAAACATTCAGCAATTCGCTGTGGCATGATCCTAGTTAACCGTCCAATCACGATTTGGGGCAATCTGACCCACTCCTCTCGCAGTGCCACGGACAATTCTTTCAGTGTTGTCCGTTGACGTTGACGTCGACGAACACGTCTCCCGATCAAATTAAACGTAACACATTAAAGCAGAGATACGCTAAACAGTAAATCTTATGCAAGAACCGATAGGAAAGCAAACATGGATAGATAAACCAGTACGCGGCAGTTTTCATCAACCATTCCTTGAAGTGTGACGCATGTGACGCATGTGCAGCTCAGAGGTTCTGTTGGGGCGATAAGTTCTTCATCTGTAAACATACTCTCAAAGCATGTCAAGTGTCCATGACTATTTATTATGTCACAACCTGCATAGGTATTTACATTTCAATATCCCCTACTTTTTTTGAAGAGTATATTTTGGGAATCGTAATTTCTTTAAATGACTAATGGATTAAAATATAAAACATTTAATCATTGTAATAAATACTAGTCAATATAGGTAAATGTTTTAAAAGATTTTCTTCAAATTGGTTTGATGTATCGGGATCATGGAGGGACCAACTCTTTAGTGCTACGCGAAGTTCTGTTCCGGAGTAACATCCCGTTTGCCGAAAACCTTAATTTCAAATTTTGTGTAAATCATTATGATCCAAAAGGATAAACTATGTTGATTATGTGCATTCCAGTGATCTATTATTTCTCCGGAAAAGATTGTGAACACGACCAAGATTAGACTTCTTGAAACCGTAAAGGGTCTTTATCACATTTTATCAACCCGCAACTTTTCCTTTGCATAATCTGCTGTTTATGGCTGTATATTTTTCGTGACAAGGCTGCTGTGTTAACGTATTTTCACGCTCTGTGTAACTATTTTTAATGTGGATACAATCACAATTACAATCCGTGTGTGTTTTCGGCGCCATAGATATTTCACAAATTGTTTTGTTTGTATGACCCACTCAGTAGTTGTCATGCTTGATGCGAGCCATATTCCTGAAGCAATGGTCCGAGAAATAACTCTCTGCATATTGCTGGATTAACTTCTGATACTTGAGCTTTTAAGGGAGTGTGTGTATTCTTCCCGTTCAATCAAATCTATTCCAAGTACAGCAACATGACAGCCCTCGTTTAATCTGGGGTCTTCCCTAAAACCTTGGACAGTGATTTAAGGTATTAAAAATGGTGAAAGTATTGTTCGTCTCCATACAGTATTGTTTACATTGTTTGTCAGGCAGTTAGTTTTCCTGCAATATTCTGCTATGCACTGGTTAACTGGGCATAATAATATCGTGAGTCATGACGTAACATTATGTAAACATATTTGCTGGAATTTGGAGGTTTGTTTAATATGTAACGATATTGTTACGCAGTTAGCTATTGGTTGTTAATCGGACTCTAGATCAGTCATAATTGGGAACAGAAATTTGCTTCCATTAAAGCAGTGCTTAGAGGGATTACCTCTAATCAAACGAAACACTGCGAGGGGTGTGGATGCGAGTCTGAGTGTGGGTATTTATCAATATGTTTCATATAATTTAATTCTGATTTTTTTCCAGGTATTGTAGAGATGTCTATGAGCTATATATCTGACCAAACGGCATACTGTAATTACCAGACGCAGTAAAATATCACGGAACAAAATTGACTTTTTATATCGTAGACTAAATAAGATACCATTATGGCTTCATCCTTTCCGGGTATTTTGTTTTATCTTTTTTTGATGGTAACAAATTTGGTCAGAATTATTAACATTAAAGGATGGGAAGGCTGTGTATGGGGTGGACGGGGGTGTTGATGTAAAGGGAGTATAGGATGTACATGGTGTGTAAGGGTACACAGTGGGTGAGGTCGAAAGTAGCGTTGGAGTAAATAGTTATGACGTAATGTAATCCTAGTATAACCCTCTTCCTTATGGAGCCGAATCGTTGCCATATTAAGAGAAAATATCACAGTTAAAATGGCAAAATTGACATAGTCAAAATGGTAAAAATGGCCATTTTCGTGATTTTTCAATTGTAGATATTACATAACACAAAATCACCATATTAGTATCAAAACAAAAGTTGCTCGCCAAAAATTAACAACGTAAAAATCTACTCATGTTTTTTCACTTTCTACTTTTCTCATTTGCAAGTTGCTCGCCAAAAATTAACAACGTAAAAATCTACTTATGTTTTTTCGCTTTCTACTTTTCTCATTTGCAAATTCGCTGTGACTTTTTCATCTTTGCATTTTCAACTATAAGAATTTCACCATTTTATTTTCAACCACCAACATTTCTCCAATCGAACGGACAGAGAGCGTGGTTCCGGGTTCAGCCGAAGTTGACGTCAATATTTAACGTCTGGGCTAAAATTAATGCTCCATTGGGTTATTCATGACTCTAAGATTGTCCGATTTTAATGATTATTTTATTATTTTTTTTATTGAAAAAATAAAATAAATTGCTTGTCATGTCAGACAACTTTTTGTTTAATGAGTTATATCATCGAACCTTGAGGTTGGCCCATTGTCTTAATAGACCCGACGAATCTTTGACTGAACATCGGCATGAATGTGAGCGGATTGCTGGCATTATATCTGAAGTAAGTGTAACTTATGAAGAGGTGTCTGGCTGCCTTAATCATTTAAGAAAAGCTTTACAGTTATTAGATGATGCAATAAATTTGCAAACAAGACAACTAGGACACGACAGAGAGTATCATGTTTCGTCAGGAACAGTTGGTCCGCCAAAGTTATTTATTCCACAGGAACAATTACAATATTCAGTTGATAAAAATTTTAAATTAGCCGAAATTGCTAATTTATACAGCGTTTCCAAACGCACCATTTGTAGACGTCTCAAAGAATAAGATATATCCATTTCACAAAAGTACAGTACTTTAAGTGATGATGAGCTGGATAATTTAGTTACTGCTATTATATCAAGATTTCCTGATCAGGGATATAGAAGTGTAAAGGGTCATTTATCAGCTCAGGGGTTTACCTTGCAAAAGGAAAGGGTCTGAGATGCCATAAGAAGGGTAGATCTAGAAGGCTTACTTTATCGAAGATACAGTGTTGTTAGAGCTCCTAATTCAGTATGGCATATTGGTGGGTACCATTATACACGTTATTTACTGTTAAATGTCAATGGTTCAGCTCCATACTACATTATTATATCATTAAAAATCATTTAAGTAATATTTTGACACAGTTGTCTGAGAACCACATTTTTTTATACACCCACATTGAAATGTGGTCATATAGTGTCGTCATCCCTGTCCGTGGTCCACAATTGCTTATGGATTGGATGCACTAGAGGCTAAAGTTAATGTCCGATTAACTTTAAAGTTATATGCAGTATTTAAGGACATGAGGCGAAAAAGCATATTAATTTTCAATGATTTTCAATAATAACTGTCATGACTTATGGCCCTTGATCACTTTGAAAAATCTTGTGGACACTCTAGAGGCTAAAGTAAATATCCAATTGACTGTAAATTTATAGACAGGGTTTAAGGTCATGAGCAGAAGACGCCTACCATAATTACTATGGCCCTTGATCACTTTGAAAAATCTTGTGGACACTCTAGAGGCTAAAGTAAATATCCAATTGACTGTAAATTTATAGACAGGGTTTAAGGTCATGAGCAGAAGACGCCTACCATAATTACTACCAGAGTTAAGGACCTTGATCACCTTGAAAAATCTTGTGGATGGTCTTTATGCTAAATTTAATATCTGATTGATTTTAAATTTATACACTTAAGGTCATGAGATGAAGAATCATGTTGATTTTCAAGGATTTCCGATAATTAATGCCAGAGTTATTGCCCTTGATCACTTTGAAGAATCTTGTGGATGCTCTAGAGACTGAAGTTAATAGTCCAGCGGCTAAGTCGAAAAATATTTCAGTTTGTGGAGAAATTTTGAAACCTGGCACACTTATAGGGGATCCCTGTAGGATCATTTTTCGATTAGGACCCAACTCTGAAACGCCCCCTGGTGACCGCCATCTTGAATTTCAAGATGGCCGCCACATTTGACATACCTTTGCCTATAACTTCAAAACTAAGGCACATAGAAATGTGATTTCAGTGTCTACCCCTGACATTTTCGGGGTCAAGGAATCCAGTAAATTCATTAGTTTGAACTTTCGATGTCGGCCATATTGGATTCCAAGATGGCCGCCATATTTGACATACTTTTGACTATAACTTTGAAACTAAGGCAGATAGAAATGTAATTTCAGTATCTACCCCCACATTTTCGGGGGTCAAGGAATCCAGTAAATTCATTAGTTTGAACTTTCGATGTCGGCCATATTGGATTCCAAGATGGCCGCCATATTTGACATACTCTTGCCTATAACTTTGAAACTAAGGCAGATAGAAATGTAATTTCAGTGTCTACCCCCACATTTTCGGGGTTAATATCCAATTAACTTTAGATTTATGCACATTGTTTAAGGTCACGAGACTATGTCTGGCCAACGTAGCTGCTGTGGGCGTATGTTTGGTTGCCCGGGAATCTTATCTTTTTTCAATATTGTTAAATTGATTATTGAAAATATTTTCGACAATATTTAGAAATGTTCATATTCCCATTACTGCTAAAATGAATTGCACGTTTTTTGTCCACTGCCTTTAAAAGAATATAGCAGATTGTTAAAATGGGTCTGTCAGTCTGTCAAACTTATTGGGACACAATAACTCTGATTTCTAATTGAGCTAGAATCTTCAAACTTGCTGAAGGTTTAGTGAATGCCTTGATGGAGTTCGAAATTGATCATTTTCTACTCTGATTCTTATTGAGTGATGAAACTTAGTTTCATTACACCTAAACGTGGATTATGTGCAAATGGTTAGTATTTAAATGTATTAGGAGAATAGGTTAGAACGAATAAGTTTGATATTAAAAATATAACTTAATCGAATATCTTCTACAATAATAACGTTTGAATATCTCACAGAATTGAATACATTTGTAAAACCATAGTTTTGTGTTTGAAATGCTCCCTTACAATTTAGAGTAATCGCCCCTTTCAGGGAGCGTTAATTTTAATCTAAACGATAAAACAGATGAGTTATGACGGCAACTTCGGCCGAACTTGTAAACACGCCCCTTTCCTTATATGATCAGTTAGATTGGAGAAATTTTAGTGGTTGAAAATACAATGGTGAAATTCTTATAGTTGAAAATGCAAAGATGAAAATGTCACAGTGAATTTGCAAATGCGAAAAGAAGAAAGTGAAAAAACGTAAGTAGATTTCTACGTTGTTAATTTTTGGCGAGCAACTTTTGTTTTGATACTAATATGGTGATTTTGTGTTATGTAATATCTACAATTGAAAAATCACGAAAATGGCCATTTTTACCATTTTGACTATGACATTATCTCTTAATATGGCAACGATTCGGCTCCATACTTCCTAACTTTTAACCTCAAATAAAGTGTTAAGCCGGGAAGGGAGATAACTGCAGCTTATTTGGACTAAGACTAGTAATTATTTCCCCTTATTTCATGATGCGAGTAGTGCGAGTTATAAATAGACAATTTTTCCCTTAATTTTTTTCTCCCCTCTTCCTGCATTTTTGGGTTGACTTTTTGGTCTAGAATTGGAGAAAAGGGATCAAATTTGCAATTTCATAGCAGTTTTGGGTAATACTGATGATATTACAGCGGAGGGATAGGGGGTGTAAAGTGTCTTTCTGCAGAGCAATCATTGTGTCAGAAGTGAGATTTTCACTCCTGTCAACTTCAAATCCGTGTAGCAAAAAATCTAAATGGTCAACCCCCTACAAAATTATGATGAGGAGATTGCCAAATGTTGTCCCCATTGTGCCTATAAAGATTGGAACCAACGGAATGTTGAGCAAAAAGCTACAGCCTGTGATGTTAGTCATTTAACATTGAAGTCAATGGGCAAATAATTGCTAGTCTGAGTCCATTTACATTCAAGTGGAGGCAGACCACCATTAATTTCCTCGTTAACTTTCAATGTTATTCTGGTCTCTTTGCTCGGCTCCAACTTTTCCCCAAATTTTCGTTGGGCTGAAATGATCACCTCTTTGCATCAAAATTTGTATGAGGGTGACCACCATAATTCTGAGATACGAAAGCTACGGGCAGACGAGCGTATTTTCTCGCTTGATCGCGCCGACTGAAATTCTCCAGCGATTTTTTACGGCCGATCACGAGCGATCGTCTATAAGCGTACGCCACTCTGCGAGTAAATTATGTCGATCATGTGACGTGTACAAAATGACGAATCGCCTAAAACGTAAGCTTGCTGTGGTAACTGCTATGCACTTGCTTCTAAAACTCTGGAATCGTTACGTCAAACAGGAACGACCTTTCTGACCAAAGATTCACTAATTCTTCTTCTTTTGCCAGACTCCATTTTGAATTTTGGCCAATTTGACCCATTTGGGCACGGATGTCGGACATGTACTTTTTTTAATGATAAAATACGTCTAGACCGACCATAAAATGTGGTCGGCATTTCTACTGCAGCAACTGCCCGCACTTATGCTATCTTGCCTGGACTATTAATAAATATTTTATTTCTCTGTAAGTGCTACATATTAAAAGATCGCCACAATTAATAGATTTACATGGTGTATAGGATGTATAGGATGTTTAGCATATACTGGATGTAAAAGAGAGAGAGAGAAATGGGGCTTAACGTCCACTCGACACAACTAGGTCATCTCGGGACCAACACATGCTTTAATTTTATTTCAATAATCCGCTTGCGCATAGGGGTCTTTAGCAGTGGGAGGAAACCGGAGGACCCGGAGAAAACCCGCGAGGTTGGACAGGCGACCCTACTCCTTGTCACGTACAACCGGGGATTCGAAGCCACGCCAGTCGACTCAATGACAGACTTTATGATACAGCGCGCGCACGCTAACCATTCAGCCATCCAACCTCCCTATACTGGATGTGTAGTGTGTATAGTATGTACAGGGTGTGTAGGGTGTATAGTATGTACAGGGTGTCTAGTGTGTATAGTATGTACATGGTGTATAGCATGTACAGGGTGTGTGGGGTATATAGGATGTACAGGGTGTAGAGGGTGTACTGGGTGTATAGCATGTACAGGGTGTAAGGGGTGTATAGTATGTACAGGGAGGGTGTATCGGGTGGGCAGGACGTATAGGATGTATAAGGGATAATACTTATTTTTCCAGGTAAGTGTAGAGGCAAACTGTTAGCTGAAGATGAAAAGAAGATACAAGACAATTGGTGTTATCTGAAAGAAAACATTGAAACTGGCATATACACATTAATTGACTATTTCTACAAGAATTCATTGATCGACATGAAGGTGAAAACACGCCTTCATAACTGTGATGAAACAAAGAAATCAGAGGAATTATTAAATGTTGTAATGAACAGTGGACCTGATGGATATAATAGATTTTTGGAATGTTTAAAAGAGGCTGGATTTAATGGTGTAGTCAAACAATTAAAATTAGGTCAGTACATGCAACATGCACAAAACACTATAGTGACAAAACGTCAACTCGACACAAACTAGGTCATTTCGGAACGAACACATGGTTCAATTTTATTTCAATAATCCGCTTGCACGTAGGGATCTTTAGCAGTGGGAGGAAACCGGAGGACCCAGAGAAAACCCACGAGGTTGGACATGCGACCCTACTCCTTGCCACGTACAACCGGGGAATCGAAAAATCAAAACCCCGCCAGTTGACTCATTGACAGACCGTATGATATAGCGCGCGCGTGCTAACCATTCGGCCATCCAACCCCCCGGCGGAAGTGGAATCTAAAATTAATTCATTCACTTGCGTGGAGTGATTTGGGGAAGAAGGGGTATATTTCAGGGGGCATCCAATCAAATAATGAAATTAAAATTAAGTTTTTTGAATTTAGCAGAATTCTTGCCATTTTGCGTTGCTTAAAAAATGTTTGTGAAAATCGGATTAAAAATGGCGGATGTGTATCGATTTGAAGTTTTTTGGTAAAATCCAACATGGCGGTCGAACAGTTTAAAATGTTAAAAAAACCAAGGTGACTGAAAATGAAAGATAATATCTGGAATAATTAGAGAATCAATTAATGTTCGGGATAAATCAGAAACACTCGGAAATTAAGAGACGTTTCCGGAAGGTTAGTCACAATTTATGGCCAGAGCATGTGTTCCCGTATGTTGCTTTATAGGTTTTTTCCTTTCTCCAATCGTCTGCCATTTTAATCATAAGATACTGGATTCATTTGTTTACTTTGAAAGAATTAATGTTTTAGCGTCTTCACCGCGAAATCTATAAACGGTTCTCGATTTATTCCGAAATTGAACAAAACGATTATCATCGTGAGATTTCTATGGTATAATGACTTATTCATGTTTTGTAGAATGTTGCAGTGTTGATTGTGTGGCAGAGCATATAGAAAAGACAGGGAACGGTAAGTGTATGTACTCTCTCTCTCTCTCCGGCAGTGAGTCAAACGACAGTGATTTCACGATGGTCAGGGGAGCCAAGCAGTGGAGACAAGGTGATGTAAGGACAAGCCTGTCACTGGTGATTTCACGGTTGCCGCGGTAATCAAGCGACAGAGATACTGAAGTAACAGTGGGCACATCCCCAGTGATTTCACAGTACTGAGAAGCCATGTCATTGATTACAAGTTACTCGGGTGTTTGTTGGGGCCCTGTTCGACCATAGTTATCTCGTCTTTATCATGTATAGTAAGCCGAGACGCTACTGTCCCAGCCGAACTAGACCTGCCACTCTACTGGCTGCAATAGCCCTTCTAACGGTGAGGGTATTAGATGATGTCTTTAATTAACTCTTTATTTCAGAACGAGAAATAAGAATTGTTTTAATTGGTAAAACTGGCGTGGGCAAGAGTTCTTTGGGCAACACACTATTACATCTTATTGGCGAGGACAAATTTGTATCTGCCGTGAGTGCCGGTTCCATAACTGACAGTAATCTACTAAAAGAAAGGGTAACACGCGTAGACAAGGAAAACATACTTCTTAAAGTATTGGATACTCCTGGCTTATCAGATACTCGAAAATCAAATACAGAAATAGCCAGTGATCTGGTACGATGCATTAATGACCTGGGTCCAGGTCCCCATGTGTTTGTGTTCGTCTTCAAGATAGACAGAATAGATGACAGTGTTATGACCAATATAGAATATTTGAAGGATATATTTGGTGTTTGTTTAGAGAAGTACGGCGTTATCGTATTTACAGGTAAGGATCACCTCGAGGAGAAGCCATTTGAGGAGTATTTAAAAACTGCTAAGCCCGAATTTAAAGTTTTTTTGTCTGATTATTGCAAAGACAGATTTGCTGTCATCAACAATAAACACCGCGATAAGAACGATGTAGAGGAAATAAAAAAACTAATTATCAAGACCATCGAGGACAATGGGTGCGATTTTTATCGAAACGAAATGTATGAAGAAGCTAAAACTATGTACGAAGAGAAGTTACGTGTGATAGAAGAAGAAAAAGTTAAAGTTGAAAAGGAGTTACAAGATAAATTCATTCGGGAGAAGAAAGAAAAAGAAGAATTAATTATTGTCCTTGATCAAGAGACCAAAGAAAAGATTAGAATTGAAGATCAACTGAATCGCGAGAAAAGAGAAAAAGAACAATTAAGAAATGACTTCAAAGAAAAGCTTGACCAAGAGATAAAAGAGAAAGTTAAAGTTGAGAAGGAGTGGAAAGATAAACTCAATTGCGAGAAAAGAGAAAAAGAATGATTAAAGTATGACTTTGAAGAACGGCTTGACCAAGAGACCAAAGAGAAAGAAAGTTTACAGAACAGATTAAAGGATATGGACAAGTTAAAGGAAGAATATAACAACTACCAACAAATTATCAAAGAGCACGAACAAAACCAAAATCTACCTGATGAAAATGTGGCTTTTAAACGGGCTCTGGAAAAAACTAACTCACCAAATGATTCTGAAAATAATGCCACACATGTGGAAACAATGGAATCTTGCGTTGAAGAATTGAAAAGCATTGGACATTTAAAAAATGTTGATCTCGCGAAACTATGTGACCATCTTTTCACTGATGGATATCTAGATGCAATTGATAAAAGTGAAGTGATCGAGTCTAAAACATCAGTTGACACTATTGACAGGTTAATGAAAATTCTGAAAACTAAAGACCGAAATCAGAACGGTGAGGCCTATATAATCATTGTCAAATATTTAAAAAATGAAATTCGAGATCATGATGCCAGCAACAACAGTGATGAATCTGTTCCTAACCAAGAGGATTACAGCAACAGTGATAATACAAGCTACCATTATGATACCATCGACAACCGTGACACTATCAGATTCAAGAACAATACTGGTATCACAAACACTCAGGACACTGATGATACTATCGATACCACAAGCACCAACGACACAAATGATAAATTCGACAACCTTGATATCACATGCAGCCAGGACACCAACGACAGTCATGATACCATCGACAACCCTGATAACACAAACACCCAAGACAGTAACGACACTAATGTTACCATCGACAATCATGATACCAATAGCACTCAGGACACAGACGACACTAATGATACTATCGACAACCTTTATAACACAAACACCCAAGACAATAACGACACTAATGTTACCATCGACAATCATGATACCAATAGCACTCAGGACACAGACGACACTAATGATACTATCGGCAACCTTTATAACACAAACACCCAGTTTTGGAATACCAAATTCTATACTAAAGACCCCTATCCGGGTAAGTGTTACTGCTACTAGTATACGAACATTAACTGACGGCTATAAACTTTACCTTGATTTCAAGTGACCCAAGTTAAAAAGCCACAAAATTAGGAACATTGCTTAAAATGTATTTCAACCTATTCATCCTTAGAAATGACAATCATGCCACACCCGACAGGGACGACAGATTTGCTCAGAACGAGAGGGCTTTGTGTAGCTTTCAACTTCAGCCCAGGCCAACGCCCTGCCAGGAGTCGACTGGACGCTGTCAACTAACCTGGGACATGAGACAATCACAGTTAATGATGCCACTGCTTGGAGGCAATTTCGGAGGCGCAATACGTTTATGGCCTGTCTGACGCCTGCCCTGTCCGACTGTAATGTTGCATAACTTTCGTTAAAGTAATACAGGCACACCTGAAGGTTCCGCCAATGGGTGTATTGGTGACGCCCATCCATACCAAACTCCGGGCTCACTCCATTTCTTCTGATGACAGTGGATGTCCTTCATGCAGGCACCGTTTCGGTCGTTCATGGGTTATAATATTTACGGATTGCCTTCATGTTTAGAGTCGTAATTGTTTTTTTCGGTCGCCATAGGTATGATTATCAACACCAACCCTTCCTCGTCGTTTTAAATTCAGTAATTGATACTTTATGTAAATGCTGCCCAACTTAAATATGGATATGTATTTCAGGCTCAGATTTCATAACCAGGGGAGAGTATAAAACATATTACCCCCTCCACAACGAAGTTTTATATTGTCAAGATCTGGACATGTTTAAAGGAGTATTAGCAGCATACGGTGATCTAACAAACTCAGTGGATAGATTTGGTGAGACACCTGTAGAAAAAGTCAGAGAGTTGCAGGTAAAGATAAATAAAGATAAAGCTATATTACTTATTAATGAACTTTATGGTGACCCGAAACCCCTGCTAAAACTTATTCAAACAGCACCACATGATCTCTCGAACTATATATTTAACCCGTTATCACCAACACATGCATTTGTGTCATCTGAAGACAACTTGATGACTCAATTTTGTTTCGGTACTGTTAAGGAATTAAGACAACTGTTGCTGCAGGGGCATGCTATTAACAGTACAACTAGGACATACCCAAAAAACAGATCTTTACTACACGTGGCCTGTGCATACACTTCTTTAGAAAGTATGAAGTATTTGATTGATGAGGGATTCGATGTTAACAGAAGAGATGAATTGGGCAACACGCCGTTATACTACTGTTGTTGTTTCCAAAGTGATTCCGTTCAAAAATTTAAACTGTTAATATCGAGAAATGCTCGGTATTCTGACATCGATATGATACGCATTTTGGAATTAGCCATTAGTCGACTCGGAAAAGAATCTAAACTGGTTAAATATTTAAGGAAAATATTCCATGCTAAGTAGAATCATTCATCATACAGTCGATCACGAGTCACGAAAAAGATAGTTCGCAAAACGTGGACATACGCCCACACAGCAACAATGTGTCGACATAATCACAGAACACTGTTCAACCAGTGACATGTTAAAACGAAGGAGAAGGTTAATCTGACTGTATTTTATTACTTTATTAAACATACATTATGCAAGAGCAAAACTTGCTTATTACAAGTCTTTCTTTAGGCCTGAAATGTTATCTAAATTATCAATTAGACATTAATTAACTTATCCAGACCATAATAAACTTTCGATGTCAAGGCTAGCCTTCGATGTTGGCTGGATTAGATTCCTATATGCCGCTAACGGCCATTGATAATTAAATAAAAAAAGTGGATAATCGAGACTATGCTGTTTATATTAATGATTTTAGTAATGATGACCGGTACTATGCAAAAATTTCATCCGCTTCTTTCTCGGCTCATAGTGGATCAATTTGACTGAAATTTTCAGCAAATTACCTTTACACTTTCTAGTTTTTAACTATTATAGCGAGAACTGCCATCTCTTTATCTTATCTCCCATAATGTATCTTTAATATTATTTAATTATTTAGTACTTTTAATGATTTGATTTTAGAACAAAATGTCTCGTAAGTCGATATGGACTGGGCACTGCTATTATTTTATGTATATTTTATGTAATGTATATATATTCTTGAATGCAGTGTTTGACACTATAATAAACAAATTACTTACTTACTTACTTACTACAAATCAAGTAAATAGTAATAATCTTGTTGACCCCCTCAGTTGATAATGATCAACAGAGTAAAATATCCAATGACAAACAGTGAAATAATCGTAATTTGATTCGGGTTAAAAAGGCGTGAAAGTCTTACTGGGGATTACGTTACCAAATTTGGATAACAAATCTTTTATAGGATTACATAACTGTTTGTGGTTTCACTGGGGCAGAGCCACGCCCATTTTTTGCATTTGTTTGTCATCCACAGGCCGCATTTCTTAACAGATCCACTTCAAACTTTGCATACTTATTCCTTTTACCCCAAGGATCATCACATTGTTTTTGGTGCATGCCCAGCCCCCAGGGGCGGGTCACGCCTATTTTCCTTTTGTGTGTCAGTGTGTCGCCTATAGGCCGCAATTCTTAATCGACCGTCTTAAAAACTTTTCATACTCACTCCTTATTATACCTTAAGAATTACCTCAAATATTTTTTGGTGCTTGCCCGACCCCCTGGGACAGAACCACGCCCAATTTTTGTGTATATCTGTATGTCGCCCACAGACCGCAATGTGCCGACCCCCAGGGGCAGAGCCACGCCCAATTTGTATGTTTATCGTATACAGGCTGCAATTCTGGATGGATCATCATGGAACTTGGCATATGTATGCCTTATATTGAATTTGGTGCATGCCCCGACCCCCAGGGACAGAGCAACGCCCATGTTCTCTTTAGCGTCTGTGTTTCGCCTACAGGCCGCAATTTTTAATGGATCATCTTGAAAACTTTTCATACTTATTCCTTATAGCCTAGACAAGGGCTCTTTTATTTTCGGTGCATGCCTGACCCCCAGGGACAGACCCACGCCCAATTTTTGTTTGTGTTGGTGTCGCCTACAGGCTGCAATTCTTACCAGATCCCTTTGAAACTTTGCATACCTATTCCTTATACGCCAAGGATGCCCCCCGTTGTTTTTGGCGAATGCCCGATCCCCATGGGCAGAACCACACCCATTTTTCTTTGTGTGTCTGTGTTTTACCTATAGGCCACAATTCTTAATTCATCGTCTTTGAAATTGGCATATGTATTACTTATAGCCTAAGGACGGCAACTATTGATCTTGATGCATGTTCCGATCCCAAGGGACAGAGCCACACCCAATGTTTGTGTGTTTAACGTATACAGGCCGCATTTCTGATTGGATTATATTGGAACTTGGTATGCTTGGACGGCAACTATTGATTAAGGTGCATGACCCCCCCCCCCCCCCGCGCCCTTTGGCCGATTCCCCGCCCACTGTTTGTTAATATTTTGTCTGTAAATAATCTACAAGTTGAAATTTTTAACAGATTTGGATCGGCATGATTCATCATAGGGTTGTACCTATTTATATTGGTCTATGTCCAACCCCCAGGGGCAGAGCTACCCCCAAGTTTTGTGCTTTTTGTCTACAGGCTGGAATTCTGAATGGATTATCTTGGAACTTGGCCCATCTATTCCTTATACCGTAAGGATGGCAACTATTTATTTTGGTGCATGCTCCGACCCCTTGGGGTGGTGTCAAACCCATTTTTTTTGGTATAGTCTAAATTTTGGAAAAACAAACCCAACATCTAGCCGTCTTTGTCTCTTGTTATATTACAGTCGTTGCAGCCATTTCATATTTCATTCTCTTCATTTTAAAAAATACCACATCAATCAAAGCAGTAATGTGGACATATATTGCAGGGTTAGCGATGCTCTTGTGAAAGTCTTATTCCGCCAGGGGGGTCACGCGGTTAAGTGGGTAAGACTCTGGCTCGTTAGCCTGGAGGTCGGGTGTTCGATCCCTGCATTCCCCGAGAAAGTTCATCCAGATTTTCCGGCGTGGTTTCCCCTTGTCAGTGATGCAGGATGGAGGGCCTGACAAGGACAGCTGTCTAGCCGTTCGAATGGGACGGAAAACCGATGTCCCGTGTACATATTGGCGTGCATGTAAAAGATCCCTTGGCAGTTGGAATTCGATATAAGAGTAGGCCGTAGCGCCGCTGCCCGGGCAAAATTTTCCTCATAGCACACTGTATGGTGTATGCCCGTCTTCATTAGCCCAGGTTAGGAGCAGAACAGTAGGACGTTAAACCCCATTTCATTTCATTTCATTTCTTATTCCGCCAATTATCTCTTCTATTCCGTCTTCATTAGCCCAGTCGGAGCAGAACAGTAGGACGTTAAACCCCATTTCATTTCTGTCTGATTTTAAAACTAAACTGTATCTAACTTTATTCCCTCAAATTAACAGAGTTTTTCTATGGTGAACGACAATTTCAATTTATCCATTGCAAGTTGCGTAAAAATAAGATTTGGAATGAACACCTTTTACACAGTAGTAGTTTAGTACCGCACGTCGATTTTCTTCAAACTGATTACAACTATATTAAAGATACATTATGGAAGATTGGATAAAGAGCTGGCAGTTCTCATTATAATAGTTAAATTCTAGATAATGTAAAGGGAATATGCTGAAAATTTCAGTCAAATTGATCCACTCTGAACCGTGATATTATCGTTTGAATTTTAGGCCTAGCCTCGATCATCATTACTAAAATCGGTACGATAAAAAACATAGTCTCGATTATCCATTTTTGGATTGAATCATCAATGAGCGTTGAGCAGCAAATCTGATTCAAATCCAGTGAAAATCCGACACATAAAATGGCACTAGAGTTGATTAAGCTCTTTTCATGTTCATAAATGTTGAATTTATAGTTTATATAACATTTCAGACCCAACGAAAGTCCTGCAATAGGCAGATTTAGCTTGTGCATAATGTATGTTTAACTTAACAAAGCATTTTACTCCGTAAATTACAAGCTTGTGTTGAGGTATATATTATTTCATTATTTGTACCATAACTTAATAATGTAAATTATGCTGTGTCTATATATATTACTTAAAACTGTACATATTATACTATTTACACTTTAGCCACAAAGACGCAAATTTGTTTTGTTTTTCTTTTTGTAGCCTGTTCTTTGTGCCTTTCATTTGTACAATATTTTCGAAATAAATACTGTTTAAATATAACAAAACTATAGCCTGTTCACAAAACTTTTCGGCGAAGGGGAGATAACTGCGGAAAGGGTAGTCGTGGAACGCTGGATATTGATAGGGTTCACTTTAAAATCAAATTTTAGAAATAAATCCGTTAAAAACCACAGTGGCTCATTGAGAAGGACGTAATTTTTATGGAATCAAGAGAGAGAGAGAGAGAGAGAGAGAGAGAGAGAGAGAGGGAGGTTTAACGTCCACTCGACACAAACTAGGTCATTTCGGGACTAATATATGGTTCAACTTTATTTCAATAATTCGCTTGCGCGTAGGGGTCTTTAGCAGTGGGAGGTTGGACAGGCGACCCTACTCCTTATCGCGTACAACCGGGAATCGAAACCACGCCAATTGACTCAATGACAGACCTTATGATACAGCGCGCATCCGCTAACCATTCGGCCATGCACCCCCCCCCCCCCTCTTCTTTATGGAATCAACTTATACCTATTAATGTGGGGGGTTGGATGGCTGAATGGTTAGCGTGCGCGCGCTGTATCATAAAGTCTGTCATTGAGTCGACTGGCGTGGTTTCGAATCCCCGGTTGTACGTGGCAAGGAGTAGGGTCGCCTGTCCAACCTCGTGGGTTTTCTCCGGGTCCTCCGGTTTCCTCCCACTGCTAAAGACCCCTACGCGCAAGCGAATTATGTAAATAAAATTAAACCATATGTTAGTCCCGAAATGACCTAGTTTGTGTCGAGTGGACGTTAAACCCCATTTCTCTCTCTCTCTCTATACCTATTAATGAAACGACGAATGCTCACTAAAGTCTGCGTATACATAGAGGAGAACTAGTGAACCCCTTTAGCAAAAACGAAGCCTGTTTTCTCAATAAAGCTTTGATCTGGATTTGGGTGTCTTGATCTTCTTCGGTAAGATACTCAACATATTTTGATAGGTAGTTTGATAGGTACAAGCTAATGCCAAACCCTTATAAAATGCATGTACAAAATTGTGTTGTCTGCTTTTATAAATAAACCTAAACGGAGTTATGTCCCTTTTGATTATGTTGGCGATGAGAAACTTGCATTTCGCAACTCGGGGTAAAATATTGACCTGATAAATACAGATATAGCCTTCAAAAATAATTATTACAATGAAAAGACAAATAAACACTGGTAAGTTGGGCATGTGGTCTGGCAAGTTGGGCGTGTGGTCTGGTAAGTTGAGCGTGAGGTCTGGCTAGTTGGGCGTGTGGTCTGGCTAGTTGGTCTGGCAAGTTGGTCGTGTGGTCTGGCAAGTTGGGCGTGTGGTCTGGTAAGTTGAGCGTGAGGTCTGGCTAGTTGGGCGTGTGGTCTGGCTAGTTGGGCGTGTAGTCTGACAAGCTGGGCGTGTGGTCTGACTCATGACTTTCAACGATACTCCTATTATTTGTTGATGTGATTTTGGATAAAACGTTATCATAATCGTATTCTCTAATACCAAAGCTGTGAATTGGTCGAATTTCAACCACTGAAGCGTGAACAAACAACACAGAAAAAATATTTATTCTTTGGAGAATGACGACGTATATTGGCATGCATAATGGTCAAATAATCTAATATTTCAGTTTGTTCAGTAATCTGCATTTAAAAGAAATTATCCCGGATTTTACGATCCGAAAATCTAGAAACAAAAACTATTTTCATTTCAGCATTGAAATACATTTTGAGAAGTTCATCATTCTAAAGATCATAGAGGTTTTCAAAATATTTAAAACAATTCAATGTCACCAGAAAACAGTGTTTTTTAATTCAACAAATTATGTTTCATTTCAATCTACAATGTCTTCCACGAAATAACTCGGCAGAAATTTGTTGTTTTTGTCTTTGTTCACTCGCCATATTTGTTCATAAGGGTACGGTATTTCCTGCTGAGAAACTTTGTTCAATTGCTGCATCTGAAATACAATTTATGATTTATAATTTAAGCTAGGCGCACACAATGTTTCAATGTGCGAAGATACAATACCAGTAAACAACCGTTTGGCTAAACAATAAACATGTTCATTCGTCGTATTGTAAAGCGCTAGTATCACGTGATATGTCTTAAATTGGCTGTACGCTGCCATTTTGAAATAATTTAAAATAATCATGTGGTTGCAGGGCCGTATGTAGGATTTTAAAAGTGGGGGTGCAGCAGAGTGGTGGGGCGCCATAGCCTCCACGTATGTGATATAAGAAAGTTTGGATTATTGCAAACGAACCCATTGGCGTGTGGGCGCCCTTAAAATCGATCGACTTATCAGTGCCTTAAGAGCATTACTGTCTGATCATAATCAAGTGTATTATTTTATAATTGAAAGATTGTCAAATAATTTTTGTTTTTTTGGATTGGGTGGGGGCGCAATTTATCGGGGCGCCTTTTTTTTCTGGGGGTGCAATGTACCCCCTGCACCCCCGCTAGATACGGTCCTGTGTGGTTGTACTACTCAGACCCGGTGTTAGTTTGTTGTTTCTTGTATAGAGGATGTAGAGAGGTTGATCTGGAGAAAACCCAAGAGATTGGACAGGCGATCCTACTCCTTGTCACGTACAAGCTGGTAATCGGAGAACTACAAGTAGATGGAAATTAGGGTGAAAGAGATTTGTGGGACGACGTTAACTGTCGACATGTGTAGACGAATTCTCTTCAATGAAATTCTCATATACGCAAACAGACACTGATGTGTTATAGCTATTTATCACGCAATAATACATTCTACAGTAGATATCGCTTGTGTGATAAATTTCATAATCTACAGCGTTAAATCCCTTGGGAGATATCGCTTTACATGAATTTGATTGGTCAGTTAAAAAGGAACTACTTTTTTGTATTTTCAAAGAACAGTTCCTTTTTTATTAAAAGTAACTTCTTTTTTTTTTTTTTTTTTTTTTTATTAAAAATGAATTATTTTTATTTAATTTACTTTGATGGAAACACTGGGTCAATATAAAGGACTTTGCAATGGTTAAATAGCTGCCAAAAAATGATGTATCACTACGCCGTAATGTAATCAGGTTCAGTAAAAGTGAAGTCTACAGCAAAGAATTATATTTATTTATTTCTGCACGTAAGAAAGGATTGGGTGATAAATAAAATCTCCTACTTCAGTACTTGTCTATTTTGATATCAAAAAATATCAACACTCGTCGATAAAGTAAAAAAAAACCTCGACAGAGCCTCGTTTTTGTTTTACTGTATCGACTCGTAGGAGATTCTCTATATGTAGTGACGTGCACGAGGCAGGATATCGCTATGGTTTAACACCTGATACCACTTATCATTTGACATGGTTAACATGTTTTACAGTTCTATCTCGTATAGTCCAAACCATGGTTCCTACAAGTAGGGGCGGTTCTATTCCTTCACAAATTTTTTTATGTCACAAAACCAGTACAGTGTTACACATTTCATTGTAAACTTGACACATCAATCGTTATAAATATAATTTAGTACCTCCTCCTTGGTTAACTTCCAACCGGAACTAGCATCCATATTGCTGTTTAACTGATCAAGAGTTGTAGCACCAATTAAAACAGATGATACAACATCCTTCTGTAATAACCACCGTATTGCCACCTGGGCAACTGATTTACCTGGAGAAAGAGAGCAACAACATGTCATGATGGAAATCTCCACTTTAGAAAATATACCTTACAGTGCTCGGAAAACAAAATAAAAAGTTTAACGTCTTATTTTTTTACACCCACAGAGTTAATGAATTACGCTATGATGTAAATTGTGCACTGATAGTTTTGAAGCTGTCTGAAGATTTTTTAAATTGGAGCAAATGGTATATCCAGGACCTGTTTTCGTTCCATTGGCAGAACTCGACTCTATTCCTTGCTAGGCAACAAGTCTGGAATACCCACACGACCTTCTGGCCGGTCCATACACGTCGAACCATCGTGGCTACCATGTATGGAAGACACAAGAGGCAATAATGGTAAATCTGATTAACCAAGACTATCCCACCTTTAGATTTACTGATCTCCTCCAGCTTTCCAATGGTGTTCCATATTTTCTCACTTCCTTCTAGTTTATCCCAGCCTGGACAAGTTTGGTTTCCTCTTTTGGCATCTTGTGCTGCCCAACCAATTCTTCCAGATCCCGACTCAGGTCTTTGTCCACGCTTGTATTTACCAGATAGTACTCCGCTTTAATATACAGAAATATATATTATAATGCCCACTGGAAAATATATATATAATTCGTGTGGATGTAACTCTATCCACTGACAGCTGTAGCAATATTCTAAAAGATTCTTTTAACTTACCCTTTTAAAGGACTCCATGGTAGGACGGCAATACCATTTAATTTACAGACACTAAAAGATTCGAACTCATCATATCTGGTAGCCAGACTGTATTGTTGCTGCAATCATAGAATTTACATCATTTTCAAGTCAACTCCGTTGCATACGAGTTCATTTATTCACTGAAACTGACACGGTGGCTCAGGGTATAAGGTGTCGGCACACTAATCAGGTGGTCCCCGTGCTGGCCGAACAATTTCCTGGGGAATTGCCAACATGTTTCCTGTTATCAGAAGTGTAAGACACTGGAACAGTCGTCTAGTCGATCGGATGGGACGACAAATGTTAAAGAAACTTTGTCAGTTATAACCGTAGGCAACATTTCCCTCTTAGCATAATATACGGAAGACGTCCATGCAATACCAGTGAGATGAAAAACAAGGACATTACAGTCGATGGTCAACCAGACATGATTCTCAGTATATAATAACCATGAATTACAAAATACTTATTAAATCGAGGATTCAAAGAAATGGGATGTGGAAGTAGTTATGTTACTCCATGGTAAAACAGCGATGCCATTTAATTTACACACATTAAAAGATTCGAATTCGTCATATCTTGAAGCAAGATTGTATTGTTGCTGCAAGCATAGAATTAATATCGGTTTACTTCACTGTGATGCATTGGGAGTTCCAGGTGTTTACTGACACAAAAATACTCGGGTAGATCAGGGAGTAAAGCACTGCCTCCCTAACCATTAGATCTGCAATACTCGGGTAGATCAGGGAGTAAAGCACTGACTCCCTAACCATTAGATCTGCAATACTCGGGTGGACCATGGAGTAAAGCACCGACTCCCTAACCATTAGATCTGCAATACTCGGGTTGATCAGGGAGTAAACCACTGACTCCCTAACCATTAGATCTGCAATACTCGGGTGGACAATGGAGTAAACCACTGACTCCCTAACCATTAGATCTCGGGTTCGGTCCGGGTATAGGCCGGGTAAGTTTCTTGGGCTTATCCGGCATTCTTTACAGTTGACAGACCGTTTCGTTGCTTTATTAATAAATTCAAGGACGTTACGTGACCCAGCCAGTACTGCCCTGGTCCACTAACCAGAAGCTTTCGGTTCGTTCCTGTGTTGCCCGCGAAAGGGGGGGGGAGTGATACACTGAGGTCTCGTGTACAGATTGGCTGCAAAAAAACGAAACTGTGACGCACTGAGGTCTCGTGTACACATTGGCTGCAAATAAACGAAACTTTGAGGTTTTGAATTCGAAAATAAGTAGACGAAAACGCCAATGACCGGGACACACGTCATTCATGACACCCTGTAACGTCAACCTGCCATTATTCGCATTAAGTACATATATAATAAATGGATTAAGACAAATATAATAAATGGATTAAGTACAAGTACAACAAATGGATTAAGTACATATAATATAATAGATGGATTAAGTATAACAGGTGGATTAAGTACATATATAATAAATGGATTAAGTACATGGATTAAGTACACGTATAATAAATGGATTAAATACATATATAATAAATGGATTAAGTAAAAGTATAACAAATGAATTAAGTACATATACAACAAATAGATTAAGTAAAAGTACTACAAATGAATTAAGTACAACACATGGATTAAGTACAAGTACAACAAATGGATTAAGTACAAGTATAACAAATGGATTAAGTACAAGTATAATGAATGGATAAAGTACATATATAATAGATGGCAAAAGTACAAGCACAAAAAATGGATTAAGTACAAGTATGAAACCTACCTGAAGGCTAATAAATGGATTAAGATCAAGTTCTCTGTTTAAATCAACTATTTGTTGTAACTGCCATCCTGTAACGTTACTACAACCAGCATGACGTATTTTACCACAACGTATCAAGTCGTTAAACGTCAATAGGGTTTCCCGGAGGGGCGTGGCATTATCCCAACAATGCGTCTGAAAGATTAAAAATCATGAAAATAGAAAGATAACTACCACATATATTAAAGTATGTTTTGTGAAATATCTAATTTTCACGGTTTAATCCACGCTAAAATAGACTCAAAATGATTATGAGATAATTAAGAAAACACGCTATTTACAATCGGATTAAAAAGAGGCCCATCAACATTTCAGTTCATTATACCTTTGAAAATACTGAACCGAACTGAAACATTTTTGGAGACCTAATTTTCGCAATTATAGTTTAGTTTGTAATGGATTAAAAATTCACGAAATGACAATCAGTGGCTTTAAAATACGGATTTGTTTTTGTACTTAAACTATAACACCTGCTCTTGGAAGAACCATTACGTAAATGAGCTAAATCGCTATTTTTGACGCCTAGAAATGAACACAAATGGAGAGAAATTAAATGAAATGTGGTTTAACGTCCTACTGTTCTGCTCCTATACTGGGCTAATGAAGACGGGCATACGCCATACAGTGTGCTATGAGGGAAATTTTGCCCGGGCAGCGGCACTATCGCCTACTCTTATATCGAATTCCAACTGCCAAGGGATCTTTTACGTGCATTCCAATGTTTACACGGGACCTCGGTTTTTCGTCTTATCCGAAGGACTAGACAGCTGTCCTTTTCATCCCCTCCGTCCTGCATCACTGACAAGGGGAAACCACGTCGGAAAACAAATGGAGAGAGAGAGAGAGAGAGAGAGAGAGAGAAATTGGGTTTAACGTCCACTCGACACAAACTAGGTCATTTCGGGACTAACATATGGTTTAATTTTATTTCAATAATTCGCTTGCGCATAGGGGTCTTTAGCAGTGGGAGGAACCGGAGGACCCGGAGAAAATCCACGAGGTTGGACAGGCGACCCTACTCCTTGTCACGTACAACCGGGGATTCGAAATCACGCCAGTCGACTCAATGACAGACTTTATGATAGAGCGTGCGCACTCTAACCATTCAGCCATCCACCCCCCCCCCCCCCCCGAACAGTAATGGATCGCAACGCATAAAATAATGTATTATGAATGTATGCAAATAGAGAATATTTGTCGTTTTAGAGTGAATAACATATTTTATTCCATCGAGAAGCGTAGCATGAGTGAAAATATAAACGTTTTCTTGCTTAGAGATGAAATAAAATATGTTATTCACGACAAAACGACAAATGTTCTATTTATTTTATGATTTTACAATCATTTTAGGTAAAAACAACTAGCCAGTGGAATAACACTTTTATTTCACTGATAAAACGCGGTATTCCACTACTGATCATAAAATAAACTGATTTACATTCAATTGTTTCCATTTTTTACTCTAATTTCAAATCAGGTATGTTCGGCGAAATACGTCAGAAGTCTCAATGGAATGGCAATCTCTAGCGTCTGGTTATTCCAGTCTACACCGGAAGTATTCTCCCGTGGGATATGTTCAGCATTGTCCATCGAGTCGCTTCATTACAAATGGCGCCCGTCAGGATTCTGGCACGCCAATCGTAAAAGTTTTATTTTGTCTGTAATATTGAATATTAGAAGCCCAAGGTGAGATAACAACATCAATGTTGATTTATATTGACCAATACATGTTTACAATGTCGAGGACTATGGATGATACTGAGTGGGTAACTTTCCTCCTTTAACTAATTTGTACGACGTTTCGATGAGTATCTTTATGATAACGTCGAGTTCATTCTCTTCAAAACGTCGCACGTATAAATTAAGTAATTGGTTTTCCATACGTATGTGTTATAGTCTATAATTCTATCCTGTTAATAAATGCCTTTAAAGGATTTTTTGGAACTTACTTGATAGAGATCAACATAATCTGTTTGTAATCTTTCTAGACTTTCCTCAATACTTTGTACAATATGTCGCCTTGTTAATCCTTGACGATTTATATTATCTTTTTGTATCCAAGCAAATACCTTTGTCGCCAGAATAAATCTATCCCTCTGTTGTCTACAAATAAATATCTTATTGAGTTAAAATGATTATTGGGTATCGATAAAATATATTTTAAAAATCTTAAATTTTAGATTTATTGGATATCAAAATGCAGACATCGGGTGCAAAACTGATAACACATGAAGATTAGTTTGTGCATTTTGTTATCTAAAATGTCACATTTAGACATAATATGTACGGCCATGCAGTGAATACTTGAAATGATAAAAATCAGCTTGTCTTAAACAAGGCCGATCTGATTAAAATACAGATTTATATTTCGTTTCGTTTTTTATACTTTCGCTGACCTCCATTACATGAAGATCTGACCAGTTGTAGTGGGAGATCGCGTGAGGGGTCATACGCGCGGCCTTTGACCCTATGACGTCAGACTTCTGATTTACTAATCAGCATTGATTTTTCTACTAGGATACGTCCACCACACGCCGTAACAGACCGTTTTATTGGCTAATCCCTCACATTCAATCAGAACTGGGGTTATATAAAAAAAACTCTTCCAGATCCAAGTGTAAAACGAAATTTTGAACTATAAAAAACGAAGCGAAATAGGGACTGTGTTTTAATCAGATTGAAACTAGGCTTGACTTCCATCCTCCTAAAGCCACCTGTATCTGGACAAAATCAACCAGACATTATACATATGTTATGAATCTCAGAAAAAGTTGGAAGCCGTCGTTGCTCAGTAAATAAAACATTGTGGTTTCTCCCCTTGTCACTGTGGCGAAAGACAAAACGAAGGGACTGGCAAGGAAAGGAACTTCATTTAGTCATTTGGATCGGACGAAAAACCAGGGTCCCGTGTAGCGAACCGCTGACAGTTGGAATTCGACATAAGAGAACAATTATTGCCCCCATAGCACACACACACTGTATGACGCAACCCAATAAAGTTACAGATTATTCTCAAGACATAGATTATTCACATATCGATGTCTCATAATACGCCCACATATTGAAAGCTTTTATCATCCAATACTTACTGTTTAAGCCAAGTACCAATAATGGATTCTGATAATCCTCCAGAGTAGACATCAGCAGTATCTATAAAATTACCTCCCCATTCCACATATCGATTTAATATCTTATGTGATAATTCTTCATCACACTGTCCTGGTAATCCAGTCTAAAGAATAAATATTGGTCATGAGAAAATATAATGATATTGCACAAACAAATATTATATATTACACGACAGGGCTTCCACTTCAATATTTTCATTGTCAGTTATTGTAAATATCGCACGAAAACTTTGCGAATCAGATTCATATTTCATGGGATTTTTTTTATTTATGGTACCGTGTCGTGAATTCGCGTGTTTAACTCTTTAGTTTTATTGTGCGATTAAAGTCCTTTATTTTCCTTATCAATGTTTTTTTTTATTTATCGCATGCCCCTGAGAAAGCTTTCAGGATTTTATACTTTATTCGATCAACCTCTTTTATTTGACCTTCGCGTCCGTGGCCGTAAACTCGGTCTACCGTTTCTTTTGGTTGGTGTAAGTTGGCAACGTTTATATCACACGCGTTTCGGTCACAAAGTGGAAGAAAATGGGGTTTAACGTCCACTGGAAACAACCAGGTCGTTTTGGAATTCGCATTTGGTACATTTTGTTTTGAACAATTCTCTTGTGGGGTCTATAGTGGAAGAGGAAGTAACCCGGAGGTGGCGGAGAAACCCTATTAGGTTGGACAGGTGACCTCACTACGTGTCACGTACAAGTGTGGGATCGAAACCACACCACTTGATTCAGTGGTAGACCTTATGATTCTCCAGAACAGTCGGGTTTAGTTCGGCAACGGAAGGGTGGGGGGGGGTCAGATTAGAATCACCCACAAAAGCGTTGCAACTGTAATAAAACCCATGACGACACCCAATCAGTGACCAAAACGTCATGCAGTATTCGTGCAATGTTAATTTTAAGTAGTAAAGACCTACTCACTGCGGTTTGTCCAAATGTCATGGTACCCAGACACAGATTCGAAACTTGAAGACCCGTTCTTCCTAGATGATTGTAATCCACTTTTAACTCCGCCATTTTGATGGTATGTGAAACTTGGCCCACTTAAATGACAGGAGTTTAATTGATTCAAATGGTTAGTAGCGTAACTTGAATATGTAAGTGATATGACTTTACTTTATAAGCTTGCATAGACAGCTGATCTTGTGTTGTCCAAGTATACTGATCCTGGGTTATGCATGGAATCTACCTACACAGTCGCATATACTCCTTCTCGCATACTTCTTGTACCAGACGAACAAACAATACAAAGTGTGGGCGTGACCGTGACATTGCGAAACAACTCTTCAACGTCTTTCATTGGAGTAATCTCCCTTTAACAGTAACCAACCGTTACACCCACTAACCATATGGATGGCCATGGCGCAAATCACCTAGGACTTAATGCTAGGTTCCTCTGTCGTGCGATGCTTGACGTTCGGGTGTGTCCCTATTGGGTCCACGATCTGGCATCTGCAGAAACGTCCTGATACGTTTCGATACGATTAACACCATTGCTACGACCGAACTCAATATATGATAAACCCTGACAGGATCCCCACGATTACTCTACGATTAAAACCACGATTTCATGCGTAGCCTGAATCGTGATAGTGGGAACCCAGCATTATCGATTGAGCTGAATAGTTTGGTGTTAATTGCCGTCACTTGATTGGCTTCAACTCTTCCTGAAATCTTCGTGGGCTGAAATCTTTCTACTCCTGAAAAACAACATGGGGCAACGTCTTGTTCTATAGTATGTTTACGGTTCCAATGGGGATTCACAAACAGCAAAGAAAGAGAACGATGATTCTTTCTAATCTGATTCCGTATAAACAAGGAACAATCCAGGTCAGGTTCCCCCCTTCCCGGATGGAGGAGAGTCCGGGGGTCTTCCCCCGGTCCAGAAAATCGTTCTCTAGCGAACTCTGAACAATGAACGACAGTGGGCCATTAGGCAAGTCAGTACACAATATAGGGGAGATAGATATCAGAACACAACCAATGATATGTATACATCATATTTATACATCACAACGCCCCTACAAAGTTGTATGTAACTCAAACAGTATCACCATAGGCTTAACCGGGTGTGCTGCCCACCAACAAGGACCAGAAAGTTTCACAGTCCAGACATTTTGCACAGCGATTCCCGAACGCTAAAAGAACTACGATGCGTCATTGATCGTCTGGTCCGACAATCTATACGAGCATTGTTTTTTTTTTACATCATTTAGAATGGTGAATTTCAAAATTCTTTTAGAAGGGGCGCCGACTGACACCCGTCTCTAGTACTCCACATGATGATCCCTGACTGCTGTCTATTACAAACAGTAGGTATTTTAGAACTATGGTCGGCAATTTATTTTCGGTTTCGGGGGAGTAGGAGAGGCACTGCCCCCTTCCCCCCGCTGGCTACGAGTGTGGACCAACCCCCCAAAGACAATTTTAAGGTTTCCCCTTTTATCCACCTGTGTTAAAAATAGAAGTATTTTGATCAAAGAAAATAACACGTTATTTACCAAACATGGCAATGCTCTTCCTGCATTGTCTATCCAAAAAATATCCCTTTTCTAATCGGTTAGACATGGAAGAACTCTAGTGATTTTATTGCGGGATTTACCGTGATGCAAATGATGCTGCTCAACGGAAAGATACCCACAAAAGGAGACAAACAAAGTCATAATATCAGTAAACATTTATTATATGATTATTGTAGTAATGAAATGGTTAAATTCATTTTCAAATTGGAAATACCATAAAATAAATCTCAAGAGTTATTTGCAATTTACAGGACAAACTCTATGGAACGTAATCGGCAGTTGAATGAACTTATCCAGTATCTTGCATCCGAAAAATCTAGAACAACTATAACAGTTTATTAGTGTCGTTTTTATTTTGAATTGTATATATATTGGAGGACCATAATCTGTTCTATGCTATGGCCCTCTAAATGCTATAATATTTATGACGTAAGAGGATACCGTAGCTACCATACGGACCAAAACGTACTTCAAAGAAGTAGCAACCATTTTAGGCACCCGCGTCTTGACAGGACAGGTTTATCATTCTAATTTACTAGAAAATATTTTCAAAACATTTAAAACCATTCGATATGAATTTTGATTCTGTGAATTATTACAATACAAAACAGAGTTGTTTAAAAATATCGTATTCTAATCCACGATATCGCCCACCAAATAACTCGGTACAAATCGGTTCTTTTTGACTTCATTCAGTCGCCATATTTGTTCATAAGGATATGGTATTTCCGGCATAGAAACTTCGTTCAATTGTTGCATCTAAAAAAATAAAATTATAATACAAAATATGTTTGAGATTTTTTATGCGTTAGGATGTTTAATTGTTCTTTATAAATGTTCAGTAAGACATTAGTACCTCTATCATGAAATCACCGACTGGGCCAATGAAGACAATCATACGCTGTACAGTGGGCTATGAGGGGAATTTGGCTGAGTACTGGCGTCAAAGTCTACTCTTCTTTCGATTTAGTACATATTTGTCCCATCCGAATGGAGAAAATTCCAGAGAACTTTTTCGATCACCGTCCGGATCGATACCCGGACCCCCCTGGTTAGCGAGTCAGCGCCTTGCCAGTAGAGAAGCCACCGCGGTTCCCTTATTGGTTTTATTGGAAACTATTAGTCATCTTAATCCATGTAATCTAGAATATATATACCTCCTCCTTGGTTAACTTCCAACCGGAACTGGCACCCATATTGCTGTTTAACTGATCAAGATTTCTAGCACCAATTAAAACAGATGATACAACATCCCTTTGTAATAACCATCGTATTGCCACCTGGGCAACTGATTTACCTGGAGACAGAAAGGAACAACATGTCATTGTGGAAATCTCCACTTTAGACAAGATACTTTACAGTGTTTGCTAAACAAAATAAAAAACCTAACGCCTTAAACCCTTCTGCACCAATAGGTATGCTTTAGAAAAGATACGTTACAATGTTTGGAAAACAGGGTTAATGAAGTGTATTATGATGGAAAGTGTGTTATAGGTTTGTAGCAGTCAGGGGATCTTTAACACGCCACCAAGGGTATACCCGGGACCTCAGTTTTCGTACCATCCGCAGAACTAGACGCTCTTCCTTGCTAGGCCGTTAGCCTCGCACCATTAACAAGAGCAACAAGTATGGAATATCCCTAAATTTTGCACTTTCTTACTTGTTCCTCCGCCATTTGCCACTTAACGAGAAAAGTGGGCCTGGAAAATCTCGTGGAAATAGAATCCGGAAACTCCTGTCTAGTGAGCCAGCATCTTACTCACCAAGCCACCATGGCTCCAGTTTTTGGAACGCCGTAAATGTTATTAACCAAGACTATCCCACCTTTAGCTTTACTGATATCCTCCAGCTTGCCAATTGTGTTCCATATTCTTTCACTTCCTTCTAGTTTATCCCAGCCTGGACAAGCTTGGTTTCCTCTTTTGGCATCTTGTGCTGCCCAACCAATTCTTCCAGATCCCGACTCAGGTCTTTGTCCACGCTTGTATTTACCAGATAGTACTCCGCTTTAATATACAGAAATATATATTATTATGCCCACTTGAAAATATATATATAATTCGTGTGGATGTAACTCTATCCACTGACAGCTGTAGCAATATTCTAAAAGATTCTTTTAACTTACCCTTTTAAAGGACTCCATGGTAGGACGGCAATACCATTTAATTTACAGACACTAAAAGATTCGAACTCATCATATCTGGTAGCCAGACTGTATTGTTGCTGCAATCATAGAATTAAATCATTTTCAAGTCAACTCCGTTGCATACGAGTTCATTTATTCACTGAAACTGACACGGTGGCTCAGGGTAGAAGGTGTCGGCACACTAATCAGGTGGTCCCCGTTGTTCGATACCGGTGCTGGCCGAACAATTTCCTGGGGAATTGCCAACATGTTTCCTGTTATCAGAAGTGTAAGACACTGGAACAATCGTCTAGTCGATCGGATGGGACGACAAATGTTAAAGAAACTTTGTCAGTTATAACCGTAGGCAACATTTCCCTCTTAGCATAATATACGGAAGACATCCATTTAGTTTATGCAATACCAGTGAGATGAAAAACAAGGACATTACAGTCGATGGTCAACCAGACATGATTCTCAGTATATAATAACAATGAATTACAAAATACTTATTAAATCGAGGATTCCAAGAAATGGGATGTGGAAGTAGTTATGTTACAGCACATCCTTTCTGGACTTTCACGTTTTAAAAATAAGTTAATTGTTACAATTCAACCAACCCTACGTCAAGACTAATAAATATAATAAATGAAACCTACCTGAAGACTAACAAATGGATTAAGGTCAAGTTCTCTGTTTAAATCAACTATTTGTTGTAACTGCCATCCCGTAACGTTACTACAACCAGCATGACGTATTTTACCACAACGTATCAGGTCGTTAAACGTCAACAGTGTTTCCCGGAGGGGCGTGGCATTATCCCAACAATGCATCTAGAAATTAATAACAAAGGAAAATTTTACCACAACGTATCAGGTCGTTAAACGTCAACAGTGTTTCCCGGAGGGGCGTGGCATTATCCCAACAATGCATCTAGAAATTAATAACAAAGGAAAATAGATAACGGTCATATATACGACACAGAACAAACATAAATTCCTACATTTAGAATGAAGTGCAAAGTTTAAAAAGATAGTACAATTCACCTGTAATTTTGTTCTCTCTTTTCAGGTTTTGAATTTTGAATATATAGCTAGTTTTAGTAGAAAAAAAATATTTGTCTGGAAGAATTACATGGGTAATTCCCCAGGAATTGCCTCCAGTCTACTTTATCTTTTCCTGGTTAGAGATTTTCATGGTGAACACCAAACATGCTTCAGCAGAGATGATTGATGGGTGTTATAGTTTATGTCTTGCGCAGGAATTAGCCTAACGAATATTGTGGAAAGAATTTCAGTTTGCGACACCAGCGTGAAATAACATTGAAGTTTATGGGGAAATTAATGGTGTATTGTGATCATATTTTTAAATTATGACATTTAAAGTCGCCGATCTTGATCGCGCATTTTTCTACAATATTTAATTTGTGGATTTCGTGACTGATTAGCATATTTATCTTAACGTTCCTGGGCATCATATTGCTCATAATATCAAAAGTTTCACGGTTCAATCCGAAAGGATCAAATGGATTAATTAACATTTAGGTAATTAAGAAAACAAAAGCAAAATATTAACAGTAGATAATCTTCAGGATTGGATATTTTACCCATTTTCTCTTCTACGTAGCGCTGGTTTGTTTAATTTGTCAATTCATCATATTTTTTGTAAATACTGAACGGAATTGGGCTAATATACATTTTAGGAACTAAACTTTCACAATATTTCCAACTCCCTCAAATGAACAGAGCGACTTCAAACTATAATTGAGGACAATTTATATATCTTAAATGAATACACAGTTATTTTGGAACTTACTTGATAGAGATCAACATAATCTGTTTGTAATCTTTCTAGACTTTCCTCAATACTTTGTACAATATGTCGTCTTGTTAACCCTTGACGATTGACATTATCTCTTTGTTTCCAGAAAAATACCTTTGTGGCCAGAATATATCTATCCCTTTGTTGTCTACAAATAAATATTTTATTGTGTTGTTAAAAGATAGGATTGATAACACATGTTTTTTGATTAATGTCTTATTTGTCCTGAAGATGTATTTTCTTTATCTACAAGGTCAAGGTTATAAAGTACGTATGAGATCAGAATGTGTTCGTCAAGTAGTGGTGTTCCTCACGGATTTGTTTTAGGACATGTCTTATTTACCATGTATACAAAGCAAACTGGATATGTGCAAACTGATAACACATTATTTTTATTAACGACTTATTTGTCATATAGATACGTTTGTTTTAGGGCCTGTCCTATTTGCAGTGTATACAAAGGAAATTGGAGGTGTTCTGGATCAAAATTCGATATGTCACCATATCTATGCTGGCGATACTCAGTTTTATGGGTATTTTGTTCCTGGATCAGATCAACAGGGGGTGCTTATAAGAATGTCTACACGCTAAAACGTTGATGGGTCTAAAACGTTTGAAAGTAAATTCGGATAAAGCTGAAGTTATCCTGTTTTGCCCCGAAACTCAATTACCCACCTTATGAACCAACAAAGGAAAAAGTTGAACAAGGGGGATTTCCGCCAACATCAGTTTACACAAACAACAAACAGTTGATGATCTGTGTAGAAGATGTTGCTGTCATCTGAAAAAAAACCCCATCAGTTCCACCCGCCGTGTCTTAACACAGGATACAGCTGCAGCTCCCGCCCGATCATTATCGTAGTGGTCTTCTCATCGATCTTTCTCAATTTCAACTAAATCACCTTCAGCAAATCCAACATCTCACAGCAAAAATTGTCCCGAGATCATCATATCGTGGCCACATAAACTCAGTTCCCCACTCTTACATTGGTTACCATGAGCCAGAGATTGGATAGACTATAAAGTACTCTGTCTAACATACCAGTGTGTTGGTAGAGACATGCTGTACGTCAATGTTGTAAAGTTTGTAGACACGACGTACGTCAAGGTTATAAAGTTTGTAGACACGATATAAGTCAAGGTTATAAAGTTGGTAGACACAATATAAGTCAAGGTTATAAAGTTGGTAGACATGATGTACGTCAAGGTTATAAAGTTGGTAGACACGATGTAAGTCAATGTTATACAGTTTGTAGACACGATATAAGTCAAGGTTATAAAGTTGGTAGACACGATGTAAGTCAAAGTTATAAAGTTTGTAGACACGATGTACGCCAAGGTTATAAAGTAGGTAGACACGTTGTAAGTCAAGGTTATAAAGTTAGTAGACACGATGTACGTCAATATTATAAAGTATGTAGACACGTTGTACGCCAAGGTTACAAAATGTGCAGATACGATGCAAGACCATGCACTAAACACTTGAACTGATAAAATCGGTCTAAAGCCACCTGAATTTGGACTATGATATCAACCATGTAATATACTACAAACATTTGAAATGATAAAAATCTACTTGTCCTAATCAAGCCTTTATCCGACAAAAAACCACCTGTATTTGGACAACTGTATCAAGGCACAGAGAGAGAGAGAGAGAGAGAGAGGAGATGGGGTGGGGGACGTCCACTCGGCAGGATTTACATATGGTCCAACGTACTTCACTAATTCGCTTGCGCGTAGGAGTCTTTCATCGTGATCGGAAACCGGGGAACCCAGAGAAATCCCACGTGGGTGGACCCTACTCCTTATCACGTACAAACGGGGAAACCATACTACTTGTCTCAATGATAGACCTTATGATCAAACGCGTTAAACCATTCGGTAACCCAACCCCGCCCTAAAAGCGGTACAAGAAGGGGTGGGGGTGATTGACATTGATCTGGTTAGGACATTAGATTCTCAACCAGAATCTGTGTGGCTCAGGTGTGGCTCGAACGGGACTGATAGTTCATGCAAGAGATCCATTGGCAATTGGCAATTGAAATTCGAAGGAGAATAGAGGGAAAACAACACTGTTCATGAAAAGATGTTATTCTCGCATGGCACACATATCCATAGAAATAACAATTACCACAATATGTTGTCCCAAAAAGATCGAATTTCTGTCCTTTAACTCAATTTATAAATTCAAACAGTTTAATTAAGTTCCAATCGTTTATATCTCTAAAACGCCACTTGCTAAACGCTTTTTTGTGGCCAACAAATTTAAGAATTGGTGTTTTTAAACGTCGTATTTGAGAAATATGGAGGTTTGTAACATTTCATAAGGTTATTTCATAAATAAATAACAATATTGTAATATTGTTAATATCCTTGAATGCAATGAAATGAAATGAAATGGGGTTTAACGCCCAGCTGTTCTACTCCGACTGGGATAATGAAGACGTGGTCCTTGAATGCCACTTAGAAGTAAAGGTATACTATTCATAATAACACAACTTTATGGATTAACTACTTGATAAAGACACCCGTAAGAATATTGAAACGTTGCATGTAATAAACTAAGAAGTAATAAATCCATAAAGTTGTGTTATGAAGAATATTGTTACTTAAAGCTACACATTATTTGAAAAACGACGATTCATAATGTGTCCACATAGGGAAACATTTCATCATCCAAAACTTACTGTTTAAGCCAAGTACCAATAATGGATTCTGATAATCCTCCAGAGTAGGCATCAGCAGTATCTATAAAATTACCTCCCCATTCCACATATCGATTTAATATCTTATGTGATAATTCTTCATCACACTGACCAGGTAGTCCAACCTGAAAAAAATATTGAAATGAATTGAATCGAAATGTGGGCTATTGAAGACTGGCGGGAAATTTTGCCTTGAGAGCGGCGCCGCAGCCTACTCACATCGAATTGCAACTGTGAAGTGTTCTTTTACGTGCTCGCGACCTTGTACACGGAACCTCCATTTGTCGTACCAAGTGTCTCCTTTTCAACCTTTTTAAAACTTTATTTCACTTGTAAAGTTGAATCCCTTGTTTTATCGCATACCGATGCAAAACCTTTCTGGACTTTGTATTATATTCGACCTTGTGTTTTGAATCTAAAATTATTCAGATCGAGTCACGAGGACTTTTATATTCGGTTACCCGTCACCTAACGTTATAGCATGGATACGCCCATATTATAAACCGGGTCGAGGTTGGCTGTACATGATCGCCATTATCCCAACGGCTCCTATCAAGTTATTTTTCTTAGGATTTGTTTCCAGGAGCAGCGCCTTTGCATTGGAGTTAGAATATTGTCGAAAGCTCCCACCACGCATGTAATAATGTAATATGATTGTATATACACTGATTTACATTCAATCGTTTCTGTTTTTACCTTAATTTCTAATCAGTTTTGTTCGTCGAAACTGAATGGCCGTCGTTGGCGTCTGGTTATTCCAGTCTACACCGGGAGTATTCTCCTATGGGGTCTGTTTAGCCTCGTTCACCGAGTCGCTTCATTACAAAACGCGCTCGAAAGCATTCTGGCGCGCGATTCGTGTGCCAATTTTAAATTTTCATTTTGTATTATTTGATATTAGAAGCCCATCTATTCACTGTAAGATAACAACATCAATGTTGACCAGTAAGTCGTGTTTGCAATATTGAATTAGCGACTTACCCTCTTTAACAGGGTATCCCAACAATGTCAATCATAAATAGTAAAACTACTCACAGTGGCTTGTCCAAATGTCATGGTACCCAGGCACAGGTTCGAAACCTGAAGACCCGTTCTACCTAAATAATTATAATCCACTTTTAACTCGGCCATTTTGATGCTGGTGTATATTACTCAACTGTCCAACACAACCGCCAGGTAAATGATATAAGTCCAAATGGCTAGTAGCGTAACTTAAATATGTCAGCGACTAAGGTATGTCAGAGAAAGCAAAGTCACTATTTGTATAGATAGATAGCTTATCTGAAACTTACAAATATAATATGAAGGCTAATATACCAGCATGGAGTGGGATAGTGTTGGCCTTGTCCTGTACTGATAATTGGGTTATGTACTAGATATGTAATATGTGCATACTTTCATATATTTTTCTTTGCATATTTGTTACGGGGAATGTTACCAAGATGATGAGTAATGTGCGTATATGGCCGTGACATTGTATGAGCAAACCTGAATTCTTTCATTGGAGTAATCTCCCTTAAAGAGTAATCAAACTTTATATCCCCTAGCTATATAGCCATCGATATCTAAAGATTTGCCTTGCTGACTTGAATAGTTTAATCTTTATCGTCGTTTTTTGCCCGTCTCTAACGATTTTACGACATTTAGAGCAACATGGAGCTATGTTGTCCTCCCGCCTCCATTATTTTTTTATAAACAATATTTGTTTCTCAGTAAAGCACCGAGGACCAGGCTAGGCATCCAAATCACGAATATTCACCAATAACCGCGGACAGGGGGGGGGGGGGGTGCGAAAGACTATAAATAGAAATAAATACATTGGATCCGCGCATCCAAGGACGGATTCGTTTCCCCCTTTTAACATATACTTACTAAAAGTCTAGCAATCACATAGCCTAGTCTAGTCCAACAAAAATGTTCTGAATCGGTTAGAAAGGATAGCATGTAAAAGCGATATAAGTGAACGCCCCAACAGAGAAGGGCTATACGCTAGTCTAGACAGTTATTGTTTAGCAGATATGAAAGTGGTTGCCATTGTAAAAGCAATGGCGCGTTAATGTTTGTTTATGTCTAATTTATTAAATACAAAGATCTACTTGTTAACGAAAACCTACCCGAAAAAGTAATGCTAATCGATGTTGAATACTTCTAGAATCGCCATGGCGCCTTTCAGTCCATAGCAAGACAGACCATGGCTAATCTTTCTCGACACTGCTTTTTAATCATTTACTTAGCAAGCGTTCCCATAATTAACACTGTCGATTACCTTGATGCAAATGCCCAAAAATTTGGAGATCCAATCAATCTGATTAAAATACAGATCTATATTTCGTTTCGTTTTTTAATATTTTCGATGACCTACGCTACATGAAGATCTGACCAGTTGTAATGGAAGGTCTCATTATGTGCCATACGAGCGGCGTTTAACCTAATGACGTCAAACATCATCGTTGACGTTTCTAGTTGTTTACAGTTTACCCAAAGTTCCGTGCACCTCACCCAAAAAACTCGCCGCAACAGACCGTTTGATTGGCTAATCCCTTACATCATCCAGAACACGTCAATGATAACAACTCTCCCAGATCCTAGTGTAGTAAAGAGCAGTTAAACGAAATTTTGAACTATAAAAAAACGAAGCGAAATAGGATCTGTGTTTTAATCAGATTGAGATTCAATCAAACTATACTATTCAAAAAAAGTAGGGGATATTTGATTTTGGGGGCATAATACTAAAATATGCAAATGACTACGAAAAAAGTCACTATAGAACCTAACAGAAGAAACATTTCCAGTTACATGTGACGCCCAAACGCACCAATAGCTACCGCATGGAATGCAGGTGATGCTTGGGATCATCATGGGGGTCCAACCCAAGATTTGCACGACTTTGACTTTGAATGTTACAGTCATTGTGGCATTGAATTCCAGGGTGGAAACATCAGTTTAATTGTTTTAGTGACCAGAAAACAAATTTTGATATGCGTCGGCTTACCCAAAATGAAAGGTTACGTGCCCTTGGCATGCTACAGATCGGCACAACACAGGCGGTTGTGGCGCGGACGATGAATGTTTCTCAGTCTGTCATAAGCAGGCTATGGTCCAGATACCGTGATACACAATCTGTACAGGACAGACCACGCTCAGGTCGACCAAGGGCGACAACTCAAGCCCAGGATCGATTTATCCGTACCTCGGCCTTGAGAAATCGTGTCATCACAGCAAATCAGATCAGCGCTCGTCTTCAAACAGACACTGGTGTGAGAGTGAGTGGCCAGACGATTCGGAATCGACTGCATAGGGGTCACCTTCGCGCCTGACGTCCTCGCGTGATCCCTTGTTTGAGAGATCATCACATTCAGGCAAGACGTCGTTGGTGTAGGGATCGTCAACACTGGGATAATCGACGCTGGAGCAATGTGATGTTTTCAGAGGAGTCAAGGTTCACTGTTGATTTTTTGGACAGACGTAGGAGGGTGTGGCGTCGTCGAAACGAGCGCTTCCAAGACGTTAACGTCATCAGACATGATCGATTTGGGGGTGGTTCTGTTATGGTGTGGGGGGGGGGGGCATCACTGTTGCTGGAAGAACGGCTTTACATGTTGTTGCAGGGCGTGTTACAGGCCAGTACTACCGGGACAACATCTTGGCAGTCCATGTTGTGCCGTTCGCACGACGTCATGGCCGCCGTTTCATCTTCCAGGATGACAACGCAAGATGTCACAGGGCCAGGATCGTTACAGGTTACCTCCAACAACAGAACATCACCACATTACCTTGGCCAGCACTGAGTCCCGACCTCTCCCCCATCGAGCATGTCTGGGACATGCTTGGACAGAGGTTACGTCAACGTCAACAACGTCCTGTCAATGTCCCAAGAACTTGCTGCTGCGTTGCAACAGGAATGGGACAATCTGGACCAAAATGACCTTAGACGTCTCATTAGGAGTATGCCACGCCGGACCAATGCTTGTTTGGCAAACAGAGGAGGATTTACCCGTTACTGACTTGGTTGTGATGCTGTGGTAACTTTGCTGTTTGACCCCAGGTATCATTTTACCCTTATAATGGTCAGTCTGTGCCTTACTTAGTCTAACGATCATTTGGAATAAATCGATGAATGTGAACTTCATTTCATTTTGTCATTTGTTTCTTCGTCAGTTTCATTAGGTGACTTTAATAACACTTAAAAATCAAATATCCCCTACTTTTTTTGAATAGTATACTTACTAAAAGTCTAGCAATCACATAGCCTAGTCTAGTCCAACAAAAATGTTCTGAATCGGTTAGAAAGGATAGCATGTAAAAGCGGTATAAGTGAACGCCCCAACAGAGAAGGGCTATACGCTAGTCTAGACAGTTATTGTTTAGCAGATATGAAAGTGGTTGCCATTGTAAAAGCAATGGCGCGTTAATGTTTGTTTATGTCTAATTTATTAAATACAAAGATCTACTTGTTAGCGAAAACCTACCCGAAAAAGTAGTGCTAATCGATGCTGAATACTTCTAGAATCGCCATGGCGCCTTTCAGTCCATAGCAAGACAGACCATGGCTAATCTTTCTCGACACTGCTTTTTAATCATTTACTTAGCAAGCGTTCCCATAATTAACACTGTCGATTACCTTGATGCAAATGCCCAAAAATTTGGAGATCCAATCAATCTGATTAAAATACAGATCTATATTTCGTTTCGTTTTTTAATATTTTCGATGACCTACGCTACATGAAGATCTGACCAGTTGTAATGGAAGGTCTCATTATGTGCCATACGAGCGGCGTTTAACCTAATGACGTCAAACATCATCGTTGACGTTTCTAGTTGTTTACAGTTTACCCAAAGTTCCGTGCACCTCACCCACAAAACTCGCCGCAACAGACCGTTTGATTGGCTAATCCCTTACATCATCCAGAACACGTCAATGATAACAACTCTCCCAGATCCTAGTGTAGTAAAGACCAGTTAAACGAAATTTTGAACTATAAAAAAACGAAGCGAAATAGGATCTGTGTTTTAATCAGATTGAGATTCAATCAAACTATTTGCAAATACTAGCCCTCTTGCTACTGTTACAAATAAGGATTCTACTTATTATCGCCCAGTTTATGGTCTATTAAGGTGCTCTGTATACAAATCCTCTAGAATTTTATATCATTCTGATAACTGTGCCATAGTTGTTTACTTGAAAGGCTAGTAATCTTTTTCCTACTCACCAGAAATTAGAAAATTTTTAGAAAACGAATGTCATGGGACCACCGTGGACTTCAGATTCAGAGAGAAAATAGGTAAATTTTGCAAATATAATGAGAGTATTGGTAAGCAGTTGGTGGTATAATAGAGTGGAGTAGAAGCTCTGATACTCAGTCTGATAAGAATCTAAATGTCACCTTCGCATTAGAAGGTATCTTCATCCCCAATTTCCGGTCTGGTATTGGTATTGTTACAAAGATAATTGAACATTGAATGACCGGATGCAAATCGTATATGGACACCGAATGTGAAAGAACACATTCACAACAGGATTTGGAGGATTTTTACGATAGATCATGCATGAAAGAATTAAGGAAGTCATATTTGTATCATGTTAACCTTCAGTATTGCCCATTTTAAACTACTTTAGGAAATAAGGGGAGGGGACACGTTGGCTAAGTGGGTAAGACTCTGGCTCGCAAGCCTGGAGGTCGGGTGTTCGATACCAGCATTGGCCGAGAAAGTTCATCCAGAAATATCCGGCGCGGTTCCCCCTTGTCAGTGATGCAGGACGGAGAGCCTGACAAGGACAGTTGTCTAGTCGTTCGGATGAGACGAAAAATCGAGGTCCCGTGTACACATTGGCGTGCACGTAAAAGATCCCTTGACAGTTGGAATTCGATATAAGAGTAGACCGTAATGCCGCTGTCCGGGCAAAATTTCACTCATAGCACACTGTATGGCGTATGCCCGTCTTTATTAGCCCAGTTCGGAGCAGGAAAGTAGGACGTTAAACCCCATTTCATTTCATTTCCTTTAAGGGAATAAGAGGGTCTTCAATACTTTATATGGAGTGTTGATCAACACCTACATATCTACCAGCCTACCCATCCACCCACGAGATCGAAACCATAGTACTCGTTATCATACAAGATTTATAAAAGGTTACTTTACTTTTGTGTCTGTTATTCGTTTATTATGTGAGTGCTGACGAAGAAATTAACGTTAATTATGTAATCCCTACTAAAGGTCAAATCCTATTCCCTATTCACTTAATACATTTTTAAAATGAAAGTAGTACTAAACATTTCAATA